CCTCATATGATCTTTAAGGTCTACTATTCAAGTACAAGCAAAACTAGATGATCATATTTTTACCTTGAGAACTGCATATACTTCCTTCATTCCATTTTATGTGAAGGGGTTTGAAGGAGAATTAAAGTACCTCACTTTTCGTGTAAATTCTGACATAGATTCTTCAATATTTTTGAAATAACATTTAGTTATTATATGAAAACTACATGAAAAGTACTTAAAGATGTTGTCATGTGACCAGGAGGTCACGGGTTCGAGTTATGAAAACAGTCTCTTGCAGAAATGCAGGGTAAGACTGCGTACAAAATAAACCCTTGTGGTCAGGACCTTCCCCAGGTCCCGCGCATAGCGGAAAGTTTAGTGCACCGGGCTGCCCTTTTATGTGAAAGTACTATAAGTCAACATAATTAATAATTCAAAATTTTATTAAAAAAGATTTGAGAAAATCACAGTCAAAGAATAATATTAAGAATGGACTTTAAACCTTTTCTCTTTCATCGACTCGACAACTCTATTTACAATTTTTGGGTAGAGAAATATAAAGTTCATTCCAAATAAAACTTCTCAACCAACCTGATGCTGGAGCTGCAATAATTAGACTCTCTCTGGAATAGAGAAAGAAAAAGAAATAATCCTAACATATTTAAGGGAATTTCATATCAAATACCGGGATCTAAAGCAAACAAGTTAAGGAACTTCTAATCATTCTTAGTATTATGAAAAAAAGAGCAGCCCCGTGCACTAAACTCCCGCTATGCGCGGGGTCCGGGGAAGAGTTGTACCATAAGGGTCTATTGTGCACAGCCTTACCCTGCATTTTTGCAAAAAACTATTTCTACGACTCGAACCCATGACCTCCTGGTCACATGATGACAACTTTATCAGTTACGCCAAGGCTCCCCTTCTCTTAGTATTATGAAACTCCTACTAATAATAGATTGATTCAATAACCCTGATAAGGCACATAGCTACAGAAATGCAAAGCAAAGCTACTTAAATAGGGGATCAAAAACAGCAGATAACAACATAAAAAAGATAAACAATTATATTGGTTTTCAATGTTACTTTGGTCCATGAAACTAAGTATTCGGAGAAGATCTTAAAACAACAAAAGTTCATAACCAACCAAATTTATTTTTTTAAAAAAAAACAGGTTCTTGAACACAATTTCATCTTGAGTGTGTGTAGGATTCTCGGTTTAATTGCGATCATTCAAATGGAGAGTCGAGTCATTTTCAATATTGTAGCTAGCTAAATCCCGGGAATCAGCTAAACTTTTCCCCGCAAACAAAAGACCTTGCAGATGAACTGGTATTCCTAGCTTATTTTGAATCATGCCCTTCACATTCTTGACCAACTCGTGCTTGTGCACGTCGAGAGTTATATATTGACCATTCACTTTCTTGATAACGATCTGTATTATTCTAGGTACCACTTGTAAGAGGGAGTCTTCTTTGATATCATACTGATATAATTCCTTCAAATCTTCCAGTTTCTTTTTTCCCAAAAACAGATCCATATCATCCATTGACTGGCTAACTTTGCTCTCAATAACTGTTTTAACATCGCGAACAAATAAAGTAACCTTGACTTCTATTTGTATGATTTCGTAAGTTGGCATTACGACAGGAATAAGAAACTTGTCTTTAGGATTGAGCACAATATGAAGGGTTGATCCATCATCAATATTGTGAAATGCTAAGGTTTTGTCATCTTCAATAAACTTTCCATCATGAAAAAGAGAGAATTCGTCCGAGTTTATTCCTTCTTTGGCCGCAATCCTAGCTTTGACATCCTGGATAGTTTCATAAATCATTGAATTAACCTTAATTGTACCTTTTGCGTAGGGTCTCTTTACGTATAACATCACGGGGACTGAATCTTCAACATAAGCATAAACGGTGGAGTTTTTGCGAATGCCATAATCGACTAGCTTCTGTTCCTCCATTAGCCGATTATCTTCTGAGAAAAGCTGCTGAAGACGTTCAGGTACGCCCTCCTTATCGTGTAGTAACGCTTTGACATTTCCAATACTATCTGATTCCTTAACTTTTAAGGCGACCGTTTTAGTGACTCTCAAGTATATAGTTATCTGCAACAGGATAGCAAAACAAACAAAACAAGATATAATAGATGTATATTGCAAGAAAGGTATTTAAAATCTGTTAACAATTATAAACACCATCCAACAGAAACAGTCTAAAGCCCAAATAAAGGTGTGGAGATTGAAAATATAGAAGTGAAATTGCAACTGGAAGTTACATTGCTCTATTGGCACAAACAGGCAGATATAACATGTCTAATCTATTGCCAGATGAAATACTGGAACGATACAACATGGATTGCTGCACAATATTTAATAGATGCATATTGCAAGAAAGGTAATAACTCTGCTAACAATTATAAACATCATTCAACAGAAACACCCTAAATAACAATATAAACTGTGGAGTAAAATGTAGAAGTGCATTGCTCTCTTGGTACAAACAGGCAGAAATAACATCTCTAATCTATTTCCAGACGAAATATTGGAAAGATACATAAAAACTATATTTCCTTCATCAGTTTTTACCGAAACCAAATAGCATGTGCATACTATATATGTACAGATATCATGAAATACATTTGATGACTGATGCGTATACATATTACATAGCACCACTGATCAACAATGGCATGTCCCTGTCAGAGGCGGAGCTAGGGTGACGGAGGGGGCCTTCGTCGAAAATTATTTTTTATGGATAAACAGTAGATGTTGAATCCCATTGGCTTGTTCGTATGTTTATTTTTTAGTATTTTGAATCTCCTTAGCAAAAATATTGGCTCCGCTACTGGTCTCCTGTCATCTTATGTTATTTCTCTTCCATTAGATTTTAGGGTATAGTGCAAAGTTCTATTATCTTATCTGACACATGCAATCGTACTGAGGCGCCAAATGCATGATTTGGATGGATTCACTGGCTAAAAAATTCAAAGAACCGCATTAGTTACAGAACAGCCAAAGTATGGTGTAATAAAGAGGGCTCTTTAGGTCTGTCTTAACACATTAATTGAACAAATTGACATAATTAAATGCATGATTTTCTAGTATGCATAGCAGATTGTGTATATAGAAAGTTTTCACTCTACATGTAAAAACTTAGGGTAAGAAACATTCTGTAACAGCATCTGAAGTATAGATTAACCGCCTTTTTATGCAATTTCTTTAACCTAGTTTAGTGCTAATGTTTCAAATTAAGTTCCACAATACTTAGAGTTTAATGCTCTAGTCCAATCAGCTTGCAAACAAGCATGCATTTCTCACTAATCGATAAGTAGTATGTACGTTGTTTTCCACAAATTTCTCTTCGTTTTTCTAACATGCGTTTCATGATTCTCAATATACTTTTTCCTCTAATAAAATTTCCAAAGTTTTATCTCTCACAGTTTTAGGAAGGAGTAAAATGTTATACATAACAATATATTGGATGAGTGTTCAATGTGTGCCACATTTTCTTTAAGTGTACTTTCTGCCAACTTGATTTTGAGTACTAAACTGAGATCCTAATAAGAAAGAATGTAGCTGAAGATAGCATTACTATGTATAATAAAGGTGAAGATTGAAAGGCCTTACATGGCTCATACAGAAATACAGAGTAAGACTGCGTAGAATAGACCCTTTGTGATTCAGCCCTTCCCTGGACCTCGCGCATAGCGGGAGCTTAGTGCGTCGGGCTGCTCTTTTTTTTATTAAAAGGTTTGACATGCCTCTTGCGAAAATGCAGAGTAAGACTGCGTACAATAGACCATTGTGGTCCGACCCTTCCCGGACCCCGCGCATAGCGGAAGCTTAGTGCGCCGGGCAAGTCTTTTTTTATTGAAAGGCCTGACATACCTCTTGCAGAAATGCAGAGTAAGGCTGCGTACAATAGACCCTTGCGGTCCGACCCTTCCTTGGACCCCGCACATAGCGGGAGCTTAGTGCACCGAGTTGCCCTTTTTTACTGAAAGGCCTAACATGATTGATCGTATAAGGGTGATCCGCCTTGACGACGAATTCCACAATAACAAGAAATCAAAATTATTTCGATTCGGAGTTAGACTTGAGATTTGTGAAGACACCTTAAGCCTAAACTTAAGTTAGATTTCGAATTGACTCCTTTTGCTCACATTCAACATTAGTGTTTTAGAAGGTGACTCGAGATACTTAAAAGGAAAATATTAAACATTTCTTTTTCATTCATAGAAGTATACTTTCCTTGACTATAGCTTCTTTTGGATGTATAGAGACCTATCTTTTCACTTTATTTCAACTAATAATTGACAGTCTTTGATGTTAAGAGGTGTATCTTTACAAGTTTGTAAGTAGTGCATTCCTTTTGCTATACCGAAATCGAACTTAAAAATACCGAACCATACTGAATTAATTTGGTATGGTAATGATATACTAGTATTTTTAAAAACCGAAAACCAAAATTATTGAAATGATTTCAAAACCGTATCATGAACGCCTTTAGGTCAAACTCAGTAGTTTTGGTCTCAAACCTTGTATACGTGTTAAAAGTTCATTAAACAAGTACAAATAATTGATTTCGGACCCGGTAAATCAAATAAACTTTGGCACAATCCTCAACTCTGAACCCATAAAGTTAAAATCTTGGATTTGCCTTAACGCCTTGTGGTCCCCCAAAAAACATTCAGAGAGGTCAGACAAATTACACATCCAACAATTGCCAGCCACCATAATATTCTTTGACGAAAGAAAAGACGACGACGACGACAACAACAACAACAAACTCAGTGAATTTCTACAAGTGGGGTCTATGGAGGGTAGTGTGTACGCACACCTTAACCCCACTGTTTCTGATAAGCCCTCGGCTAAAGAAAAGATAAAAAGAAGCCGCGACAACGAAAGAAAAGAACAAAAAAAATCACATAAGAAAAGTACATATAAAAAAGTTCACGTTCTTAAAATTCTATATCAATAGTTAAGATTCACAAACAAAAAGAATAACAAATTCACAGATTTCAAAGTAATAAAAAGAAAAAGAAAAAAAAGGTTCTCATTTGTTTAAGCAGCTAACCTCTTCGTTTTCATCATCTTCTTCTACAGCTGTTCTCAATCGCTTCATGTTCGGTTCCATTTTTGCAAAGCTTGAATTCTCCTACAAAATTACACAAAAAGAAACAGCAAAACAGTGAAAAAAAGAAAATAAAAAGTGGTGAAACAGTTGAATTTATATACACACTCCCTATTAATCACATGATTACATGAATCAGATTATGGTTAGACTATAAAGTAATTAGCACATTTTACAGCTAATAATAACTAGTTTAGGATACACGCCTGTTTTAGTAAGTACATTATTTTAAAAGTCACATAAATATTATATTAACATATTGTGTTTGAGTTATAAAAAAAAAGTTTTAAAAAAAAAGAGTAAGTTCCTAAAAATAATAATTGTTGATCCCATTTAGCTAATTCAATAAAAGAAGAAACAAAAATAATAGAAGTCCTCAACGATCTTAGTCAATATTTTTAACTTAAATTTTATTCGAGATCTATACTCTCGTTACTACAATTTCACAAGTTTTTCTCACAAGCAAAGTATAAATTATTTTATTTCTTTAATAATCAATAAGATATACTATAGGAAGCTAAACCAGTTTAAAAAATAAAAATAAATTTTGAGAATTTGGTCAAAATGGTTCATATTGTATAGATAGGAAGTGTAGTCAAAGTCACGCTTATAAGCCCTGAAACGGGGAGCAAAAACATATTGAGCGTTTCCCTTGCTTAGCGAGCACTTCAGTGTCCTCATCAAGGGTTTAAGGCACACTTTTCCCTGTCAACGAGCGTAATACTGAAAAGGCGCACTAAATAATTGATATTTCACTTTATCATAATTTTTTTGTCAATTATTTTATTCATATATTTGTATTCATATCTATAATTATTAGGTTTGGGCTACACATAACTATTTATATTTTTCTTTATTTGTACCTTTCTTCGTTCATATCTGCTAGCATTAACCAACTAGAAAAATTAAAAAAAAGTGTCCATGAAAAATAAAAAATTGTGATATTAAGGGATTTTGTTTTACACTCTTTAATAGGGATATTAAATAATGGGTTTCCTACGTGCTGTATTTTTCCTTTTTAACGTACAATTTTTTTTACATCTTTAATAAAGATTAAATAATGAGTATCCTATTTATTGGTTTATTCCTTTTTCCCTTTTAAGTATGGAAATTTGGACAGCTTTAATAAGATATTAAATAATGACTTTTCTACTTATATATTGTCCTAAATTTTTGCCCTTTTTAACCCACGAAAATTTAGAGCCCGTTTGAATTAGCTGATTATAAATAGGTGATAAGCTTGAAATGCTGAAAAGTATTTTTAAGTGCTAAAACTGATTTTTAAAATAAATATTTACATATTTGCATAGACGTGTTGAAATTGATAATAAGCAGTTGATATGTTTGGTAGAAAAATGCTGATAAGTTATTCTCTTGTTAAAAATACTAAATACCCTTAAAGTTTTACAAAAAATTATGAATTAAAAAGTTTCTTTGTAGAGAAAATGATAAACAACGAATATGG